CCGCTGGCTAGTGTCAGAGCTAGAAAAAGCACCCAGGTCTCCTGAGTCCCAGTCTAGCACTCTATCCCCAAAGTAATGTTGCATCCCTAAACAATAATAAAAGGCCTCTAGAGAGGGGAGTGCTGCACTCAGCAAGAAAGATGAAGGTTAAAACAAACATTGGTAAAAGGCTGAGTGACCTTGATCCAGTCCCTTTCCATTCCTGTGCCTCAGGTCCTATATCTGAGTGGCAAGCCATGCTTCACAGTTTATTTCATGTTTGTGCAGCCCTTTAAACAGAAACAGGTAAAGCACAGTGAAAGTGATGATTATTACCTGCATGAGAAGAGACAGCAGTGCAGTGTGGCATTTGGTGCTGTGCAAATACTGAAGATACAGAGCAGCTGACTGACATGAACAGCTGGCACATGTCGTTACACAGTGCAGTCGTTAAAAGAAGTGTCCAAAAGTGGAACACAATGGGAAAATTGTCTGGAGACAGTAATAGGTGTTCAGCAGATGCAATCTGCCTCCCACTGATGTACTTTGGGGGTGCTCTTCAGTGGGTGTAAATCTGTGTAGCTCTTGTACAGTCAATGGTCATCTCCTGGTTTGTATCAGTTGAAGGTGTGACCCTGTGTCCTAGAAAGCTTATTGAGAGAGCTTGATTTGGTTGTCCCAGCTCTGCAACAGATTTAATGCAGGCCTTAGTCAAGTCACTTAGACTCTTGTGCTTTAGTTCTCTGTAAAATGGGGATAATATCAATTTCCTATTCCATTGGGTTGTCATGAGGAGAAATGCATAAAAAAACCTGTGACACTACAGTTACTCTAGCGATGGGGGGTTACACAAGTATCTAATAAAGAGAAGAGCTGTCTTAAAAGAATAAACTGTTAGCACAACGAAGTAATCTCTATAGTGGTTGCTTGAAACAGGAGAGTTACATCTGCCTCTTCTCTCTTTCAGGTCAGGGTTGGCATCCATTGCTGTGGGGTAAACTTTGCTGATATCTTGGCCTGCCAGGGTCTGTACCAGGAAAAACATGCTCTTCCATTCTCACCTGGTGAGTAGGAACCTATCGATCTTTGCAGAAGGTTATGGAGTCACTAACTTAATGTGTTTAATGGTAAGTGAATTTACTGCTGGTACCAGACGGGGAGCCCTGAAGAATAAAGCTGTCTATCCGCAAAGTAGGTGCAACATATTAATCTTTGAATTGGTGCCAATTTTGATGGGTTCATTGATGTGGACATCTGTTCATTAGGAACTGAGTGTAAAGCTCCCAGCTCATTTTACATAGGCATCTGGAGAGCTGTAAGATAGTCACAATTCTTGTCATTGCTAACTGCTGGATTCTGACCAACAGAGGTGCAGAGCTCCTTATCCTGCTGGTTTATTATGAGGGAGACATGTTTAACAAAACAACAATTCCCCAAAGTTTCTAGCCATAAAGGGACTCATATGGCTTTTACATTAATAAAGGACATGCTTTATTTTTTTGTCTTTCCACAAGAAGGCAGACACAATAGTATTAGTAGGTTCTGAAATTTGCCCCAAATTGGTGCAACCTTTGGTTTACCCTTTACTTGCTTTTTTATACCTTTATTGCTGTTCTCAGATAGGGAGACTCCTATCCTCCTTAAGAGTTCAGTTTTTGTCCCCACCTTTAGGGTTGTCATGTCCAGATAACATACTTCCTAATATGACAGGCACCAAGTTGTGTTTAATATCATGTTACCTCAAATATGCTGATTAGCACACTTATTTTCAGGAAATATTTTCCCCAGGGTAGACAAGATCTCATTGTGGCCGTCTGTATCACCTCTTAAAAATATGTGTTATATAGGAACCTGAATTTTCAGAGTACTGTGCAAACCTTAATCCACAACAACACTGGCATAGAGGTTAGATAAGGGTCATTAAACTCGTTTTAGAGATAAAGAGACTGAAGCAGAGAGAAGTTTTTATTCTGGATTTTTATAGCACTTAGGGCACTGGGTCCTTCTCCATGACTAAAGCTACTTGGTGCTACGAAACCTTGCCCAAGATTATCCAGCATGTCAAAAGCAGAACTGCAGTCTAGGACACTATTGTTTTTTAAAATGCATTGGCTGCTTGATTGGCTGTTCTAAGTATCATTTGTGGCTTCCTGCACACTTTGGCTGCATCCACACGAGTGTGGACGTTTGGTTCCCTGGGGACGACTATCAGTTGGATGCCTTGTATTGATGCCTGTGCCACGCACTCTCTGGCGCGTGGCAGGTTACCCCAGGTGAGGTATGGGAGCCAGGGGCCATCACTGGGTTGTCCCCAGCAGCCTTACTTGGGCTCATGCAATTTAATAAAGAAAAATGTAAGGTACTCCACCTGGGAAGGAGGAATCCCCAGCACACCTATAGGTTGGGGAGTGTCCTTCTCAGCAGCTCGGAGGCAGAGAGGGATCTTGGAGTAATAATTGACTCCAAGCTGAATATGAGCCGGCAGTGTAATGAGGCCATCAACAAGGCTAATCGCACCTTGTCATGCATTAGCAGGTGCATGACTAATAGATCAAAGGAGGTGATGCTCCCCCACTATGTGGCACTGGTCAGGCCGCAGTTGGAGTACGGCGTCCAGTTTTGGGCGCCACACTTCAAGAGGGATGCGGAGAATCTGGAGAGGGTCCAGAGGAGGGCCACTCACATGATTAGTGGCCTTCATGATAGACCCTATGGGGGGGAGGTTTTTCATAGATGTTAGGGTCGGAAGGGACCTCAATAGATCATCGAGTCCAACCCCCTGCATAGGCAGGAAAGAGAGCTGGGTTTAGGTGACACCAGCTAGATGCCTATCTATGAAGCCCCCCAGGGTAGGGGAGAGCCCCACCTCCCTTGGGAGCCCATTCCAGACTTTGGCCACTCTAACTGTGAAGAAGTTCATCCTAATGTCTAGTCTAAATCTGCTCTCTGCTAGCTTATGGCCATTATTTCTTGTAACCCCCAGGGGCGCCTTGGTGAGTAAAACCTCACCAATTCCCTTCTGTGCCCCTGTGATGAACTTATAGGCAGCCACAAGGTTGCCTCTCAACCTTCTCTTGCGTATGGCAGGGGCTTTAAATTCAAAGTCAACTTGGATTTGGGTAAATACAGTACATCTAGCAAACACACAAATCCCTTCTGGTCCATTAATTGGATTTAAAAGAAAAGGAAGAAACCTCAGCCTGCTGCACAAAACTCCCTCTTTCCACAGATAATTATGCTCCATCAGGTGAGCAGATTCTTGTCTCTAACACACATACAAAACAGTTGCCGTTTCATATAGGTGACAATTTCAGTAGAACTGGAAAGAGAAGATATTCTTACTCAACGTTTCCTAATCATCTTCCTTCCCAGAAATGGAACTGGACACCAGATACAATTTGAAAAGAAAGCAGACAAGATTCCTCTAACAAGGAATTTCTCCTCTGCTTATAAATAATAGTGATAAAAAACTGTCTTCAAAATAGAGGTTTAGCTGATTTCTTAAGTATTTAGTAAATTATATTATTTTGTGCCTTCCTTCTCTGTCACAGATAAAACCAAAATATAAAAAAAGAGATGCCAAAAAAGTCTCCCATTCCAGTCAAGATGCTGTTACAGTACTTTGGTTTCAAGTACTCTGCTTGAATAGCTATTACTAGACTTACCAAGAAGAGCATGTTTGAGAGACCAGTGCTCAATGACTGGGTAGGACAACTTGAACAAAAGCCAAGACAACTGGTTTACAGTAACTCACAAATGCTTGCAAAGGCACAAAGACTTTGTAAAGCAATACTTGGAGACATTCCATGCTCCTTCAGGGAGCATTACAAAAGCAAATTCTCCAAGTTGTCTACAAAGTACGGAAATTCTGATTTCAAGATAGAAGGATTGTTTTATCTAAATAAGCATCAGCACAGTGAACACTGCAACAATGTAGGAAACACTTCAACTGAATCTATAACCTTCTAAACATTTCTGTTTAAAAGTTTACCACCTATACCATGCTTGTCCAACGTATGGCCCGCGGGCCTCCATGTGGCCCCCCAAGACCT